AAGCAGTTATTCTTTGGATTCAAGTAGTACAACCAAGTCCATAGTTATTCCGATTGGTCCACTATCACCTTATTCTGGTGATTTTGGTGAATACTTCTCTGAACAGTACTCTGTTCTCAAATTGGTCTTGTCTTATCTGAACTATTATGATCTTAATACACTTCGTGAAGTCAATAGTTCTTTAAAAATGGCTACTGATATACTCTTAAAGAAACGTACATGGATTCAAGCTGCTTCTCTAAATTATATGCACGGAACTGATCATCGACCAGAACCAATACACAGTGGACATTTTATTGATTTAAGAATTGAACCAAAAGTGTTGTTTACTTTTGAAGGTATGGCTGGTGGACCTTCCTCTAGATCCAGGCCAAAAATTTGTATGCGTTTACGAGATAGAAATGATAACCGTTTCTTTCCTAGGAGTGATATAGTGCCAAAATCAGTTAAGACATTTGTACCAATTGGTGCTAAAGGTATTATTTATCCAGACAAGAATGAAAAAAATGAACTGATCACTGTTCAGACCATGATGCATAAAAAACTTGCACTTCTCTATTTACCTACAACTGACAGTTATGATGTAAGTGTATTTACTCGTGTAGTTACATCTGACTCATTTATACAGGAACCAATACGAGAATTTTTTCATAGTGATCCACGTCCTATAAGAGGAATAATATTTTTGAAAGTCGGTGCACCACATATTGATGGAATGATAAGGTTTATTGTGAAAATGGTATCTAATAATCAATCCGAACCTTTTGCATTATCTGGAGGACATGTATCAAGCTTAGATTATGATAATCCACCAAAAAAAAATATTCCTGGTGTTTTGAAGGCAATTATATTTCGTGGAGATGGTATACGTTGTGTATCAGATTTTATTGGTTCTACGACAGATGACGGAGTGCTTGAGGGATTAAAACATACTGCACTGTATGTAAACAAGACTTTTGGAAAACTGAACATTCATAAAACATTCATAATGATGTTCCAGTGCGTAGATAGACATTCATTACCTATTGAAGATAATATGCATCTTGCAAAAACATTTCCAAATATCCCAATTTTTGGTATGCAGACTTGGGGAGAAATTGGGTTTAGATCTTTTAAAACACATGAATTGAAATTTGCTCCTAAAAAGAGAAAGTTATCCATAATGCATTCAGTTAAAACCACATACATGATAGTTTCTATTGATTAATATTAATATAAAAATAATACCTAATATTAATATATTACTTTGTGGCTTGGTGAGGCGCGGTCGTACGCTCAATCTGCGGAAACGCACTGAGCGTACGTACCGGCCGCAGTTGCTAGCTCCCGGATGGGAGACCACCCGGGATTTTTAGCAACATATCCTTGCCACACTTACACAAACACGTGTTACAACCCTACCCAATTAAAAACCTACAAACAAACATACAAAAATAAT